AAGATTTTCATATTTTCTATTATTTTTAAAAGATTCGTTAATTACGGAATTATTGAAAATAATTGTAACAATATATAAATATTATATTAAAATTAATGATATAAAAATTATATATATATATATTGATTAAATATTCATATTTATTAGAAATCTAATTATAACAATAGATACTATACAAGTTTAATATATTAGTTTTAGATTTTTTAATAAATATTTGTGACAAAGTTTATTAAAGTTATAATTAAATAAAGAAATTATTATTATTATAATTTATAAATCTGTCTTTAAGTTATATTTGTAATAATATAAATATTATATTTTGACATTAAGATTTTGAGAATATTTTTTATATATTCTTATAGTACATTATCAAAAATTTTAAAAATGAATCTGTTATTTTGGAACTTGATATTTTAATATTCAATAATTCCATTCAAACAAAGATATCACCATTAGATTTGTATAATTGAGACAAATTTAATGGTAATATTTTTGTTTGAATGAAATCACTGAATGTTGAGATATCAGGTTTTAAATGACAAATTCATTTTTAAAATTTTTGATAATATATTGTAAGAGTGTGTAATTGTTCAGCTTATAACATAAAAGAATATAACTATTATCAATCTTTAATATTTTTGTTATTAGTACTTAACACATATTTAATCTAATAATTATAAAGTATTATTAATACTTTGAATTGTTGTTAAGATATTATAAACCAAATACAAATGTTATAAATATCTGAGTATTTTGAAAAGCCAGCCAAAGCAATAACAATATGTAAATTATTTAAACAATTAGAAAAATTTAGACAATTTCAGAATTTTTGATTGTTGATAAAATTAATTTCATCTAATTTCAGAAATTATGTTATGAATTTTGAGTTTATCTAAAACACTATGATAAATAAACACCGAGATTATTATTAACCAGTTTAGCTTTATTTGATATCTGGCACCATATATTTAATAATGAATGACATCTGGCGCTGATGTGCCCTTAGAAAATCAGTTCAACGTTCATCTCTTGAATATTACAATTGTGAAAGCGATTAGCAATATTGTTTGTTAGTTTATCGAGATCAATGAAAAGCACTGTCGAAAAAAATTAACACGTAGATAAAGGTTCTTTATTTTTAACGAGAGTAATTAAATAACTATAGACATAATCCAACAGAATGACAAACCTTTTGACTAACTGTGACCATATAGGCGTCAAAGACTAATCCAAATAAATTCATCACTAACAAAATTACATCCAAAAACTATTACATGTAGTTTACTCATAATTCCTTCTAACATTACGATATTTACTATCAGGATACGACAAATGATTCGGTGTATCATCTAGACATTGAGCACCACCCAATCCATGATATACAACACTAAGCAATGATCGTTCATGATCAGTCGGGTGATCAGCACTCAACTCCCAAAACATTGTCCCACCTAATTTTTTCTCTTGAATATACTTACACTTGTGATGAAGACTTTTTGGTGTATCATAAGTGACTAATTCCCTAGAGCAATCATCATAGCTATAACTTGCCACAGACTTCTCATCAAAATGCTCAAGAGCACCAGGTCGCGGAAGTTGTTTATAATCATAGATTCCTTGTTCCCATGTGCCCTCACCAACACCTTCAAACCGATGTCCGAGACCTTTAGTGTTTTGGAATGCGCGACCGTACATTGGAACTCCTAATATTATTTTGTGGGAGGGGATTCCTTGTTTTAGGTAATACCTTACTGCTCGATCTGTTGACACGTCACCTCCATAGAGATGTGTTTGGTGATTTGCATGACTGGACCATGCACCCTCGAAATCATAAGCCATTAGGTAGAATAAGTCCAAATATTCGTTCATTTCGTCCAGACGCATTACTTTATATTTTTCTTTGCCGCATGGAACCGCAGCAGTTAATAAATATCTGGTAGTTTCGTTCTTGGATTCAGCGCATTTGTCTAAAGCATGTCGAAGTTCTTCCAATAATTGCACGAAGTTCTTTGCTTCATTTTTATCTTTAGGATATTCCCAATCAACTAATAAAATATATTAAAATATTAAAATTTTGCGGAAGATAATTTTTCTTGATAACAGATTATTGTAAATAATAAATTCTTCTAATATAGCTTACCATCTAACCCATCCAGTCCTAAATCATTCAACAACTCTATAGATGAATCAACAAATCTCCTCCTAGTTTCATGACTAGCAGCAACCCCAGCAAAATTCGAGCTCCACGTCCACCCACCAATCGATAAACTAACTTTGACATGTCGATTCTGACGTTTCAAAAGCCCCAACTGTTTAAAACTTCCATACAAATTGGTCCCTTCCTCATTCCACGAATCCCCTTCATAATGTTTCTCGATATCTGCCCAAGGGTCACCCAAAAACACAGTTCCATCCTCACGAACATTAGCAAACGCGTACAAAATATGTGAAAGTTTTGTCGCGTCCACTTTCGCGACGTTATGTTCACGCGCGTAAATTCCCCACGAGACAAAATATCCTGCTATTACATGTTTTGATAGACTCATTTCAGGAATAGTATCACTGTTAACAGACTCAAACTTTTTTTCGCTATTACCGGTACTTATATTATTTATGAGCGACGGAGATAACAAAGTATCGTAGTGAAAAGCGGTAATATAAATTATGCCAATAACGAGAATCCCAATAAAACTGATAACTTTTTGCGTGCGTTTGTTCTTCGGAAAGAAGCTGCCGCTGCTTGTTGTTGATGTTCTGTTAATCTTCTGTTATAGTGTGACTTCTCGTCGTTACCATATTGTAGTATAGAAACTGAACGCTGTTTTCGAGAAGAGTTTGAAGCTTCTTTTGATAATAAATATGACTTGTTATTTTCCATGGATGAAACTTTTTAATTGATGACTATTTTTATCAATGGTCGTACGTTTCATATACGTCATTTGAATTATACATTCGTCATACCTTCTTATTGCACATCTGGAATGTGTGCCAGGTTCGTGCCGCAGTCCAATAAGAATTCGATTTACTGGTGGCACAGACCAATAAGGATGTGCGAATTTTTGATCAGCCGGCAAAATACGGGAAATGGGGGTACACTAAAGCCGGGTAGTTTCACGTGATTTAGAGATCCGATCCGGATTAACTCAATCCTGATCATGTGATCAAAATCATGTGAACGCTAATGAACAATGATAGCAAACAATAATGATTATAGCAAACAATAATGATTATAGCAATAGCTCTTTTTAAGCTTTTGCTTATTATCTTCTTGCATACTTCACTTTCGCCAATTTTTCCATCCGGATAACAAAAGCAATATTCATTTAATAAATTTATACAAATAAAAATTTACAAATTAACAAGAAATAAATCCAATGACGAATTTAAAGATGCAATAAATGCTTTGGTTGCATCTGTATTACCTTCATTCTCAATTATCCAATACCTATCCCGCACCCTTTCCATAAGCTCACCCACTTGTAATCTTCATGTTTCTGCCTCTCTTTCTGCTGGAGTCTGAAGAGACTCAAATGTTTCAATTATTTCACGGCATTCATATACTTCAAAACCAGCCTCCGCGAACATTTGCTGGAATTCTTCCCAAGCATTGATTGTCAACAGTTTTTCAGGACCAAAAAGATGCTGATGAAGGATGTGCCGGCAAGGAAGCATATAATGATGGAAGAATTCGCAATCACATTTTGGTGATGTTAGGCTTGACGGTAACTTTCCCTTTGTAATCCTCACGCTCATAGCCATGGTCTCATTTGCGATCAGCTTTTGGATGGGATATGGAAATTTATGGATCTCTTCCAGAATCTCATCATCAAGGTTGACTATAGAGATTCACTTTTGACGGAAGTTGAAGGTAGCTTTTTCAGAGTCGAGCTGTTTTTTATCATCGAGCTCGATGATTTTATAATACACACCTAACAAATGGATTTAATATCTTTTTTAATATAAGTTTTGATTCGCGAGTTCATTTTGAATTTCTACCTACAAGACCATATTTTTTGATTGTTGTACGCTTAAGTTCGCTATGGTAAGATTCCAGCAGATTTGTTGACGTAACTTGTAACAACAGAGGAGAATGTTGGCGCGTCCAGAGAGCCCATCTTTCTGTATTTTTAATGTAATTACAGTTAATATAACAGATAATATCGGGAACAGGACAAACGTCAATTGCATTTCGAATGATCTCCTTGCAACCGATTCTTGTTATCTTATGCATTGCCAAGACTAATTGATTGCGCGTTGCCAGATGATAAACCTTTTGCAGCCAAGTAGCATTACATGTACTGTGCAAAGGATTACATCACAGTTCTGTTCACCGTGTGCAATGCCTGGAAAGACATTCGCAATACTATTGATTTTGACACTGCTTTGGTCACAGAGGAAGTATCGAGGACGCCAGCGAGGTACAAACCCACGAATCATCTTTAATGCTTTGGTCAATGTACTGCTGTTCTCGTCACTTACTAAAAAATGCGCCCCAACATTCCAACAACTGTGACCATCGCGTATATACAAGGTAAAAAGATGCCAAAGATATTTATTAGTATTGTGTGTTGAATTCATAAGCATTAGTCACCCATGGCGACATAATTTTTCTAGCTATATAGGATTCGCGAAGCAGAATATCTGAGATGATTTTTGTGATTGCTGTGTGATTAGAGATGGCGCAGCAAGTATGTGACGCTTATTTGTCACCTGTTGCAACACATTGCAACTCCAAAATTTTATAAGCCGCAACTAGTTGCAACTAGGTGATGCT